AAAACAGGTGTTTCCATTACTGTATATTAATACAATATAATATTTAATACATTACTAGATTTAGATATATAAGTACAGTTCCACAATCCAATTAAGGCCTAATTTGCAATTCTGAATCCAGCAAAGAGCGTATGCTATGTATTTTCGTAATTGCAATGATCATATTTATTAGGATTTTGGGATCTTTTAATTTAAAAGATTTTGAGATAAATCCTATTTACTTGATTTGTAAATTAATTGTCCATACTATCATAATGAACCAAATGATGTTTCATGTCATCTGTATTACTTTGGAGTTTCTCTGGATGTACCCATTAATGGCCATTCAATTGTTCAAGTATTGCAATGTTGTTACTGCAAATATTATACTTATATCTAACCACTGCTGGTTAAGACCGTAACTATCCAATAGCTTCGTTCATATGTCCAATGCCTTTATTTTTCGTACATATATAGTACCTTGCAAATACCCTTTCATGGACTCACACTGCATTAGTAGTCCTTCTATTTCAGAAGTTTTGTACATAAATTAATACAGCTGAATAGATAGCATGATGACTAGTTTTTGAAAAGAAGATTTGTAAAAGATTTGTTTGTGAGTGAAAGTCAGTTTGGATAATTGTTTAAATAAAAAACCACAACGGTTTTCCTATAGCTGTGGTGTTCGGAGGTGTATGTTTATATTCATTGGTAAGATGGACATACTTTCTTCTTCTGTCGTTCACTCTTGGCAGAATGGTCGTGGTTTTTATGATGGTATATCTTGTGGTACGGTATCGTTGTGGTCTTTGGCGATAGAGCTCCTTGCAATTTGTCTCTACCTTGTACGGTTTTAGTCTGCACGAGAACATTGTACAATGGACATACTAAAGATAATCATAAAAAGGTTATTAACACCAATTCCAATAATGAAAAACATTATACTATTCAGAGCTGCACGGCGTAAACCTATCAATCCACGGTCAATCCCAAACAATGCAATTCACAATTAATTGTAACTTATGACATTACAACTCTGCTATTCATGATGTCATTCTGGGACAAGAACGGTTAGCACGCGGAGGCTATAAAAACACTTCAGCTGACTATGTCGAACTAAATGTGCCTCACGACTAGGACATAGCTATGCAATATAGAAATATGTGTCAGATGCAATTGATTAGTATACTTTATTGCATATAAATCGGTTTACAATGGTTTAAAATAAAACAATTCATACTCCTAACTTATTCATTTCAATAGTTTCCATTCCATCACAATTGTATAGGACCTACTATATTATCAATACACTATTCCAACCAAAGAAGTCATAAGTCTGCCTATTAAGTTCCGAAGAAACTACCATCCTTATTTTGTCTATAACAATCTCCTATCTACTATATTGTCTAAGTTGTGATCAAAATTTTTAAACTGTTAATAATTATGATCACTACTTTGTTAGACTTTTTAATAAGTTCTAGATTATTATTATACTATGCATATTATATTTTAACATCTAAAATGATACCAAGACTAATAGTAACACTACAGTGTTATAAATCTGCAAGTTAAGTCATTGAATAGACATTTAAATCTCTAAAATATCTTCCACGTACATTAATCCAGTTCTATTGACGGCTTGCTGACTTGCTGTGAATCCTGAATGCTTACTGTCAACGACCGAGCGAGAAGCTAATGAGCAGATTAGCGGAAAATAAATACAGATCAACCTCAGCGAAGGGAATAAGTAAATGAGAACCTGCTCGTTGTTAGTGCTGTAATGTCAGTGAAACTAAATATAATCATGACATTTCATAACTGGATTTAAACTGAGTTAGCAAATACATGTTCTTTTGTACTGTTCCATTTTCATTTAGTACTATTAACTTAGCTTATAGATAGCTAAATGTTAGCATTATAAACCGGAGGAAATTACAGTACCTTTGTCAATTAATACAAAATAAAATACGAAGTATGGTCTCTTGCAACTGATGACACAAGGAAAATAGTATAATATAATATATTAGCTAAAGTACTAAAGACAGTGGTCAACTAAAGGACAGCTACAGAAATTAGATAGAGAGCTTCTATAGGCAAATGCATTGGCGTATTTTTTATAAACCTTATGAATCTCAACTCTCTCACTTCAGGCGTTAATACTACTTAATACTATATTGAATGGTTACAAATGCATTGTGCAAACCCAATTGTACCAATTCTAACAAAACTAGAATGGTGGCTCAGTCTTCAGAAGGAAACTATGAATATTTTGATAGCAAACAATCATCAAAATAACATAAAACCTTGGGAAGCTTCTTGGTACGAATTTTTAGTAGTCGGTTGAAATCATACAAACAGTAGTAAATTCCTGTAAATCCTAATCGAAATATATAGTAATAACTTATCTTAATTACAATTTTGCAATGTAATAAACAATTTCACCAATCGACATCAGTGGGCGGTAATAGGCAGTCAATTTAGTTATATGATATCGTAGATCGATCGAATGAAATTAAAACTGTACTTAATATTGACCCAGACTTTCACAAATATAAAATAAAATAGTGTAAGTTATGATTTTGTGTATATGATACTAAATATTTAATTAATTTGACGGCTTCGGTAGTCGAGCAGTTAAACAGACAGCTTTACTCCCGATGGTCGCGGGATCGATTCCTCGCACGGTGCAAACATTTGTATGAATATGAGCATTGATATCGGTCTGGGTGTTTCCTATGTATATAATATAAGTATTTACAAAAAAAAGTATTTATATCAGTTATGTAGTACCTATAAACTATCCATAACAAAAAAGAGTCCATTTTGTATGGCGATACAAATATTTAATAAGCTTCCTGACGATATAAGAACCCTCTCTGGAATATTATTTAAAAGAAAACTGCATGAATGGTTAGTTTCCAAAGAGTTTTTGGAATATTAAAATAATAAATTGTTCCTCATGACATTTAGATTTATATACATATTGACATATACCTACATACAATAATTCATAATTATATAAACAACCGATTATTTAATTAACTTAAAATTTGTACGCTTGATATAAGCAGATTTTGTAAGGGCCATGTTTTTGTATAACATCATATATGTATGTACCCAAAATCTATTGCAAATAAATTTATTATTATTATTATTATTATAACACAAGCTCTGCTTACTGTGTGACTAGACGACGCTATGTTAATTGTTCAGGGTTATTTATTATTTATTAAATAGTGTACGGAATGCAGCTTTATGATGATAATATTCGCTTTAACAAGGTGCAATCAGAATCGATACAACTCTGAGGACCAATAACTTGAATTGATCATAAGTATTATGTAAACATAAACCTGTTACAACCAAATGTAATGTATTATTATTAGAAATATTAATTGATAGATGTTGAACATAATGTAGGTAGTGGTGATAAAGAATAATTTAATTAGGGAGTGTTTGACATATAAATCTAATACTGAAATTGAAAATTGACGTAAGTAAAATAATTAAAAAATATAAGCTCGTTCGAATATTTTATATACGTGTAACTATATTACTTTACTATAACTATTTTCTAGTAATATGTTTAAATCATAATCACTTGTATCACAAGTAAATAAGGTTTATTCTTATTAATCGCAGGAAGCGCGAATACGTAAAGGTAAATTGCAAACTGGTTATGATAGATAGGCGAGATATTTTTTGTCAGTACCACTTTCTTGTACGCTATTTATTGAAATATTAAAAATCAAACTAATTTCAATCTTACTAACAATGAAATAAGTTATAAAACGATTATTAATAACTAACGTATTAAAATTTGCGCAATATTCTAAGATTATTAGTATATGGAAATGTAGTCCCCAGTGTAATATTAAGGAAAGTAGGTATATTAATCATGAATATTGCAATTACAGCCAGAATCTATAAATTAATTAAAGTGATATATATTTATAACGAAGTCTTATGCAATATTATGCAGTCTTATCAATGTATTTTATTACCTCTATAATATTAAAATTTCTTAACATTACTTCAACTATAGCGAAAATATGGTGAAAATATTAAATCTCCATCTTTAGGTCTACAAACGGTTTTTATCAAATCCATTTTATGATAAGATCTGACTCAAAAATTATTTGCAAGATTTGTACCAAGTTACTGAATAATTTAAAAACATATAAAAAGTTATAAAATTAATTATTAAAATAGACCTTCTCCTACTTATGAAATACATAGTTTTAATCTTCGGTAATATTAAACTAAATGATTAGGATTGAAATATTTTAAAATAATAAGAATCATACAATAGTAATCATTATATGATTTAATTACTACTGTACCGAATCTAATTATTGGAAATAATTTAGCTTTCAACTAAATTTATCGTTGAGCTTCGATACATACACACATTTTCCACATTCATTGAGCAATAAGCGCTAATTAAAAGTTCACATAAAATAACGCTTGGTAACTAACTCGTTACACAGGCATTTCGTAAACTGTCCGGCCACATATCATGAACGTCTAATTGAGCTGTTGTAGATATTCGTGTAATGCCCCTCACGACCGCATCAGATGTACATAAAAATGTCTAAATGTAATCGCATGATTATAAATTAATAGTATAGGCGTTTACACAAAAATTTGTAATCAGATAACATAAATTATTATTTATTGGTGTTAGTTATTGCTATATCTAAGCATACGTAAGCCATTTCGAGGTAGAATACATTATAGGTATTGACATTTTACATATCGTATTTTTAAGTATAATAGACATTCCTGTATTTTAACCTAAGTATATGAATATGTAATATATGGTATAGGAATTAAACAACCTGTCTACAAAAACAAGAAAAATTACTAAAAAGAAAAATTTAACGAGAAAAACTAGCGCTAAGTTACTTATAACAGACAATACAATAGATCAACTGAGTAGGAATACAGAGAATTGTTGAAACATTATGTTACATTCAAAATACTTAAGTAATTTGAAATCTATATAATAAAATACTCACGCAGCAATTCCAAGTCCAAAGTATTCGCATTACTAAATTATCTTTTCCAGCTTTCCCATCTGAAACAAAAAAAAACAGTAAATGTAATGACTTAACAAAAATAAAGTTAACGTATCCAGAAAATAAACTTCTGAATCCTTATACATATAGCACACTTCGAAATGAGTTACGATAAGGTGTCAACGCACTAAGATCGGATCTCTTCCTTAACAGCAGCGCGCAAAAAGGCGTTGCATCATGGATCCTTGAGGTCAGCTCCCAACATTGTCTCATACAATGGTGATTGTGAGAAAGAATAAACAATAGAATCGTCGAACAATTAGCAGTGCCAATTAAATATTTGTTTAAAGTAGTATTGTTTGTTTGATTAAATGAAAGAGATGCACGAAATAATGAGGGTAATTGGTCACTCTATAAAGGGAAGCAATAACTCTTCTAATATATTTGTTGTCGCATTCGATACAAGATACTACTGTTATATATTGAGCTTTTATAACCTTATTTATTATAATATAACAAACGCAGTGCAACTTTACAAGACCATGTTACCAAACAAGGAACAAACATCAGACAACGTTTTGTACGTGTATGAGAAGTAAAATATTTGTATAAGGATCTTTATGCTTATACAAATATTATGCTTCACCTATGGATCACATTTTATTTTGGCGTAGATTCTTATTACACAAATATATCTGGTTTTATAATTTAAAAATAAAGTAAACAAAAGAAACGTATACAAACAACACAATGAAAACTTTCGTAATTACCAAAACCTGACGAGTTAATTGTGACAATTTTTGAACAATGAACAATATACTATCCGTAACGACCTAGGACATATAGATAATCTCTTCCTATTGACAGTTAGTTAAAATATATATACTCTTATGTAATTTGAGAGACACGTAAAATAAAATTTGTAGCATAATAACACTATAATGTTTGATCATGTTGCAATTGACAAAAATACTTAAGAATTTAAAAAAAATTATCTATGTACCTATACCATACTATACTACAAGTAAACCTGATATAAAATAAAAGCACCCTTGCATAAGTGATGTCAACGGTGACCAGTGGAGTGCAGAGTTGTGAGTGGGAGTCAGGTAGGCGTGGGAACCGGTTACTCATGACTCACTCATTTATACATAATTTGGTAGTCTGAGTTGCGTCAGGAAATATATAGATTGCCGATCAACCGGAAAGTGAAATGGAAAAAATATTCACTTTAAGGATGAATGTGCTGGGCGCTGTCGGATGTCGGTTGTCTGCCACTTTGATGACAGGCTCGCCTGTTTCTGTATTCAATTCTGTTTCATGATTGTATCAAAGGTGATCGCTTATGCCATGTACATATAGTTTTCACATTTAAATATTAGCATTTTCTATAGCTATTAATAGTTTAATTAGACTATCTAATTATGTTCCATTAATGATTAGAATGAAGTCATTAAAAAAGTAATGAAATATATTTAAATCTACTAAAAACTTAGGAATAATTTTATACAACAGTAAGTTAACGGATAAAACCGTTATCAATCCATATCCTTCAGTTTAAAATAATATCCATGAAATCGATAGTCTACTAAAACAAAAACTTAATACAAAAAATCTCACCAACAGTTCTGGACAATCGATTCAATCTTTCGAAATAACTGTATTCAAAATTGATTTACATATCGATATTGCGAATCGTCATGTGAGAGGACGGTTCTGACTGAACGTACATAACATCGAACGAAGCAGTCCTCATTACAAACATTTGACTTTCGCTGTCGCTGCGTGGGCGAGGGGAGTGACTGGTCACAAGTCGATCAAACAAACATGAACAGGTTGAATAAATAAATAAAATTGTGTTATAATAAACAATCAATATACAATGGATGATCATACAAATTGTTGGTACGTAATAGTAAGGGAAAGTCCAAATGAAGTGTAAGTTCGCAAGATTAGAGATCAGTCAAGTACCTTGTTTTTGATTTAATGTTCTTCTCAGCAGGTAATAAAAACGTAATAGGATGCAAAAAGGATAAAGACATATGAAGACACACACTAGTATACTTAAAAACTTATATGTTCTTCTGCTTGAGTTCCATACTAGTTGCATGTTAGTTAGGTTTTTGTCTATATTAGAGACCAGAGGGTACCTACTTAAAAAAAAAATACATTATGGAACTGTCAAAGTCAACTCACAATCAAAAGTGGTATCAATTCGATCCGATGTCATAAACCGTAAAATATATCTTTGTTCGTATCGTTACAGCCGGAGTATAGATCAAAGAAGAAATTGTTTTTAGGTAATAAAATTTACTGCTTTGCACAAATGTAAACTATTATTTCTGGTTCAATTTCATGACATATATTTAATTTGTTAAAACTAAAATAAAATAAATAAAATTTAAGAGGTTATTTTCCTCTCCTGAAGCAAACAGTTCACCATCTTTATTTCTATTTATAAACTAAATGCAATATGTAAAAACCCTATTTATAAAGCACTTCAACATTGTCCAGCAAAAGGCAAAGGCTTCGGAATCGTAAATCTTACAAGGTATGGTTTATTTCATACTGTCATCCAGTAAACTAAACAAGTTATAGGTGTTACCGATGTTTCCAGTTATTGGCGGTTATTGTCTTCACAACACGTCTGGTTGCCAAACGTCCCACTTAAAGACTTAAGAACAAAGAACCAATTTCAGAAAGGACGCACTCTACAATGCTAAAAGGCAACTTATTATACGTTCATAATAAAGTAAAGTAAAGTAAAAAGTTGTCTCTACTCTGTGTGCTTTTTAAAAATAGAACTAATTGTATTTTTACTATCAATTTAATTGAATATCATTAATAGTTAAAGAGAATTGATTTTATCTCTGAGGTACTGGCATATTATTTTTTTTTAATTTTAAGTTTCATAGTAGATTGAATAAATAATAAAGTATTGACTGAATAAAGAGATTGCCTTTTAACATTGAAATGGAATAAACGATTTTACCAACCAACTACTGTTGTCACAGGAATATTTGTATATTACGACAATGACTTTATAATTTAATTTTCTGTTACGCCTACAAGTTATTGAAACAATTTTTATATATTTTCATTTGTTTAATGTAAATTATTGGCATATTTTGTGTTCTTGTAATGCAATACCTAGTACCAAAAAAATATTGTTCTAGGTTGTAAAGTGGAGGTAAAATACATGAATACTAATTGGCTAATTCTTTATACTTCTGAACTATATTATATAACATTAGTACGATTTCCAATATGACAGAAATGAATGAATGACGTGCTAAAGCCGTGCGTTAATGACTTCATATCACGCTTTCTGATCCAGTAACCAGTATTCACACTCTATAAACACTTGTATAATATTCCTTTAAAATGACCTTACCAATCGGTAAACCATTGACAGTATTAATGAATATCAAACAGTTTCTATCCGCCTCTAAGAAATGTCCAACTCATAAATTTTGCAACTAACTTGCCGTTAATATTTACTATAGTTTCAAGGAGAAATCAGCCATATTTAACATTAAATATCGCATGAATTTAATTTTGATAATATCTCGAGATAGATAATAAAGATTAACAAGTAAAAAGAGACCGACTAAATGTATATACACTAAAATAGCCCAGGGACAATCGTGAGTTTTACATCATCCTAACGATCAATCCTACTTGCAGAATATATCTATAATATAATAATAGAAGTTTTTATTCTTTTATAGATTTGTTAATTTTAAAGAGGCATACATCCTAAGTTGTTTTTCTCTTCGACAGTTAAACAACAATATTTATAATAATATAAATTTCATGATTCAAACGTGACTCGAGATGTAAGATTGGGTTCCTTGTCTATTAAGTTAACAAATTAATTTATAATTTTTAATGATTTGTATTTTAAATCTTAGATCAGAAGTCATCTGTTTTACTTATTTAAACTATATGTGAAGTTAATTTAAGGCACAGTTAAGGTTAATACTGTTTAAGAATACAAATATTACTTTGGATATACTCGACCACGCTATAGAACTGTGGCTCAGTAATTACTTTATTTATTTGGACCTTGCATATATAAATATTTGACGAGAAAATATATTGCAGCACATGTACTAACAACTTTTATTTATAGGCTGTCTTTTATAACAATAAAAGCAGTTGTAGCGGGTAATGTTTATGTAGTATTGGTGTAAATTCCAATTGAACGCTTAATTGATACTTGAATCAAATTCGCCGCTGTTATTCAATTTTTCTTTCCTATAATAAGCATTATCAAATAAATTTAAATAATCTTAACATCACTATATAATTTAACCGCATTGATTACATAAGTTCACTTAGATTACATAGTAAGCGCAACATCATTAGTTCGACACTTGTATACAGTATATTCGTAGTGTAATATCAAATTAAAATTAAGACACGAATCTCAATTACACCTTTCATTTGCAATGCATTTAAGCGTCTATAAAATAGACGAGCAATCATCGTATGTGTCGCTACCTTAATGTAATAATTACAGCCGTATATGAACACGGTACATGAATCAAGGCCCATTATGCTGGCAATTGTAATAAAAATAACTTTATCTGAATGGATAGTTATAACGTCTGTGAATTTACAGTTACGTTACTTAACATTTAATGTATGTAAGTTAAGAAGACTGTCAATGGACTGTGACAATACGATTATTACATTCGGTCCTATAAAATGTTATGATTTTAAACGAATTGCTTTTTGGTGGGTATGATGCTGAGAAATAATCTATTGTTGCATCTATTGCGTATGAGTTCTCGAATATTTCTGACCAAAATCAACTCAAGAACCCGCACGAAACGAGATTACCGATGCTTTTCCCAAATACATACTTACTTCTTAGATGCCTATTGTACTTCAAAAGATAACAGGGTCAAATTCACAAGATTTTGTGCTTAATACTTCCGACTTTTTGTGACTTTTTTTTAGTGTGTACATGTGTAAATAGGAGATATACCGTTTACCATAGGAGTTTAATCATTACCATGGGCAGTGGCTACGGAGTAAAAAACAATTCAAAACTGAATTAAGATTATTCTCGTCTAAAATTTATTTATTAAGGTTGCAATGCTAGACGAACGAGGCTGTTATAGATCATTTTGAAAGAAATACCCACTAAACTACAAAGGCAATCGTTATTACATAGCTACGTAACATAATCGAATAACGTTTAATTTAGGAAAAAAACTAAATTAAACTAAATGACGACATCATCAGTTGAAGCAGTTATTTGAAGTGAAACGGATTTTTTGTTACAGTTTTTCATCCTAATATAAAGCTTGTATTCGCCTTAAGCGCAATAGCACGGCTATTGCTCTACCAATTATTGATAACAGTAGCTATTTTGCACTAGATACTGTTATTGGCTTGCAGCTCCAATTTTCAAATCGTATTTCTAGATTGCCTTAGATATTGAATAATCTTTCTCGTGCTCAGTAAACCCGATTGTGTGTTTAACGGGGCATTTCTTCATTGCTTTTTCCCTAGCACCTATAGTAATATTACCACGGTTCGTAATAAAATTGACTCTTAACTCAAGTACTAAAACCTAGTCTCGTAGATGGTAGACAGAGAGAACTGAATGCGAAAGTATATAAGTAAGATATTACATATTGTATAGACTTTCGTATTATAGTCTAGACTTATGTCCTACTCTGGGCTTTGAGATACGAGCAACATATATATAGGTATATAAGTAGATAGCTAAATAGCATTATTCCTAATAACTAGTTTCATATAGGAAATTAAACCCTAATACCTAACGGTTAGAGAAACTATCGACTACTGCTTGAGACATAAATAGATTTTTTTATAAACTTTTTCTATACCTACTGCCTTGATGTATTTTTTGTCTTATTTTAAAAAGAAATAAATTCAATAATCAAAATAAAAGTCACGATCGGCGGTATCAACTAGAAGCTGACTTAAAAAGAATTTTCTCGAACCATTCTCTTGTCACTTACATTGTGCTGACAGGTCTTGCATAGTTTTTGCTTGCTACTAAACGATTTAAGGACACACAGCTACGGAAATATAAGAAATTTCTGGAAAATGCGTAAACCTAACCTTATAAATAAAGATTAATATTACGATATCTATAGGATTAGAATTTTCAACTAAATAAAACTAAATTTCACACAATGTGATATCTATATTGATATGAAACTTAAATGGGATATACAAGGAGTAAGTTGGCCTTAAAAAATACGATTAACTAGAAAACTCTTTTTAAAATATTATTAAACTAGTTTCAGCATCGGCGAGGAAGTTACATTATACATATACACACAAAATACGCAGTGGAAATGAGAACTACGTCGGTTTTTAATTGAGCTGAAAAATATTATCGTCTCATCTGTACCTGTTGGTGTTCGAGGAACTTAAAACCAATGTGTCAAATTACACGTATATCTCAGGAACGAATTGTTCGATGATTGCGCAGTTCGACGGAATGAGAATAAAAAATATACACAGCCAGCCGCATGTCCAATCACTTTTTGTTTCATCACGTGTCTCACTCAAGCCGCCCTTTAAACTGCCAAAACGATTACAAGATACCATTCATGATACTCAACATAGATCTACGCAGATAATTATGTTCCAATATAATTATCAACAAAATAAATAATTCATATCAGATGTGAAAAAAATTGTTAAATTTATAGGTGCTCCTTTAATTACAGAAGTATTGGATCATTGACATACTGCAATTACGAAATTGAATACAGTAATTACACAGAGAGATATTAAATTATATGAGTTCTTTTTACTATTCTTCGTTCTCATAGTAATTCTATGTCTTGATAAAATTATACATATATTTTTATAAATAATAGAAATACAAGCTTAAATAAATTTATATATTACATATATATAAATTTATTACATATATTTTATAAATTCGTAATATTCCCTTAATTAAAAATAAAGTATAAATATATATATTATTGAACGCATTGTAGTACAGATCCAGAGATACATACATTTAACAATCAGATAAACATTACTCTCCTTTCCACGGCAGTTGGGTAAAATAGGAAGAAGCGCGTTTGTAAATCATCTTTATGTAACAGTAAACGGGATCGCGGACAAAATGTGAATTTCCCACGTCGGGCGACCTGCAAAGATGGCATTTGAAAAGCAGACAATAGACTGGCAATGTGGAACATTCGCCTAGTAGAATCGTCTTCGTATTTCAATAATGTACTAAGGAAAAGAGCATTAGTTCGATCAGGAATATGGTATTAATAGAATAAAAAAAATAACACTTTTCATAGATAGTTTTCGGTGGAGAAAAGCTTTCACTGTTTTTATAAGTAGAAGTAATCCTCTAAATTGTAATCATTTACTTGACACTGACAGTCAATGTAACGCAATTGATTATAGTATATTCAGTTTTAATAAAATAAGTAATATTAAAATTAGCAAATTTTCCAAGCGAGTACGAGTTCCAATGATGTAATGATATAAGTAATTTCATATATGAAATATTGGCAAAAACTGGACTAATTTCTATAATACTGTTTTAATAGATAGGGTTGAACCATAATTAAAAAAAAACACATTATATTGAATTCTTCATAAGTCCAATACTACGCGGTGTCACTCAAAAATTCAGTAAATAAGTTTGTCCATATAGCCGGCTCGGCTAGATGGACAAAGGACAAATATTAAAAAATAAACAAGAAATAGATATGTACAGAGTAATAGCTTAATATCTAAATTTTCGCCCATAAACACGTGTCCATCCGAAGGATGATAATAATTTGTTATGATGATAATAGCCAGTGATGTGCAACGTTTAAAAAAAATAACTTCGCTACATCCAACTGTCAAGGTCTCGAGGGAATAAGGTTATCGGAACACCGACGTCACGAGGTGGGTCCGACCAAGTCTGCAGTTGATGCACGGCATTACGTGTTTCCATTGTATTCTAGTCTTTATTTTAGATAGCAAATTGAATCAACGGCGTTAATAGTACTGTATATCTGTTTAGGGGCGGGCTTGTGGGAATATCTCAAGACTGATGAGATATAAACACAGGCCTACTCTACCATCTCCTTCAGAGAGGTAGAGGGGTGTGGTCTTAAACCCTAGAGCGCAAGTCGTGTAGATCCTTAAGGCAAGTGCGGTAGATACCCTTCACGAGGTTGCCGCCCTGTTATTGGTCTAGTTCCCTATGAAATAGACGTAACAAAAACTACCGGGCGACCAATGCAGGGATGGAGAGGTCATGTCCTTGCGTGTCCATCATCGACCAAAAAACAGAAGGTGGACAGTAATGACCTCCCGCGTGTTTGTTTTTTAAAAATAAGCCGTGCGCGGAGACCCGTACGGAGGGATGAAGGAGTCCTGGTGGTTGAGTGCAGCAGTGTGCCGGCTGTTGTTGTACACTGTTCACAACACACCTCTTTGGTCTGGATTTCCTCTCAAACGGGAGGTCGTGGAGTAGCTAACCACGATCAATCGGCTGCGATTCCCCATAAGCGGGCAGTCAAGCGAGGTTTGGTGGGCTGGGGGGTGGCAGTCGGCGTGGCGCGGCGCCTCGGGGCTAGCCTGCATCATTGTCTCGTGATGTAGGTGTCCTCGTTGTGTTTCGCTGCGTGCGGACTCGTCTACTTTCCAGCCTGCTGTACCTATACCAAGGGAGAGCTCTGACGATCATTCGCTGGAACGAATGACGTCCCCGACGTGAGGGCTCCGTGGTGGGTGGAGAGCTCCCAAGGTGAAGTAAAAGAAAAAAACCACTCATGGATACAGAGACTAAAAAACTCAAAAACAAAAAACCGACACAGGCTGCGTCCTCGAATGCGCCAAACCAACAACCAGAAAAGGCTGCGTCCCAAGATGCGCCAAAACGACCACCACTGCCCAAGGCCGCGTCCTTCGACGCCCAAGGGCAAGCCACAAACAAAGCTGCGCCAAGCAAAGCTGCGTCCAAGGATTTGTTGAGGAAGGCTACCGACCGGGATGCGCCTGACCAGGCTGCGTCCAGAAACGTACCTTCCAAGGCAACCAAGGATGCGCCGAGCAAAGCTGCGTCACAAGATCCGACAAGGAGGACTGTCGAATGGAATGCGCCAACTCAGGCTGCGTCCCGTGACACACCGTCCATGTCGGTAAAAGATGCGGTGAAAAAGGCTGTGTCTGAGGACACGTTGAGGAAGGGCACTGAGCGGAATGCGCCAACCCAGGCTGCGTCCCGTAAAGTGCCTCCAGCGTTGGCCTTAGATGCGCCTCCAAAGGCAACTCCTAACCCTCCGCCAAAGACAGGCGCTGCTATGGGGGAACCAAGGACAAGCGCACTCCGAATGCGCCCAACAGGGCTGCGTCAGTGAGTGCGTCTTCCGAAGGGAACTCGGCAGCACTGATGAAAGCGGAGGCGGAAGAGAGGCCAAACAAAGCTGCATCCGACAACGGTTCTGACACCCCGGCATTGGATCTGTCGTCACTAAAAGACGCAATCCAATCGCCCACGAAACCGGGTCAATGGAAGACCGTCACCAAACCCAAGTCGGCCTCAAAAAAGCGGCGCATGAAGGCCAGAGCCAAAGCAGCAGCACAACGCGCAGTAGCAGCAAGCAACGTAGCAGATGCCGTAAGGCATCAGCTCGGTACCTGCCCAAAGGCGACCAAACCGAAAGGGGAGGCGTCAACAAGTGGGACCAAAGCACCTGCAACTGCCTCGACAAGTGCTGCACTGACGGTTGGCCTTCATAAACGCAGCATGAAGCCCAGAGGCCGGAAAAAGACCAGGACACACGACGACAAGACCGCACCAAGACCGCAGAAACGCACTCGTCCGGAGGACACGGTCACACCCAAAGGGGAGGGCAAAAAACCCAGAACCGCAGGAGTGATGGGTAGGGGACCGACGTCATACGCCGAAGCAGCTGCCAGCTTCCTGGCAAACGAACTGTGCGTTGCAGTCATGGTAGAACCATTTACCGACCTCATACAAGACCAAGCGGAGGATCTCAGAAGGCAGATCGAAGGGAAGCTTAGGCTCCAAGTCAAAGCCGACCTCAAGATCCCTGCAGCAACAAGAAAAGACCTCAAATTCCGTGGCAAGGCTCACTTCGCAGATGGTGTCCTCAAAACATGGTGCGAGGATGCCTACACCTTAGCCTGGCTTGAGAAAAGCATCACAGACATGGTCTCACCAGTAGAAGGCTCGAGGCTAGTCGTTAGACCACAGTCGGCCATACCGAAGAAGGTGCCGTGCCTGCTCTTTGTACCTGGAGAAATCGAGGACTTGGCAGAGCTACGTGAACTTCTCGCGGGGCAAAACAGCAACATGAGCATCAACTCCTGGACCCTGACACACGAAAGAATCAGAGAAGATCCACCAGGAACCTGCCTATTCTTTCGTATTCCTGAAAAGGATGTAGAAGTGCTGAAGGCCCAGGACAGAAGAGTCTACTACCTGATGGGGAACATCTATGTTCGCTTCCTGGACACAGATGTCTCCCATCAAACACCTGCAGCCGCCTCGAAACAGACGGAGGCCACAAGCCTTGGCGAGCAGGAGACGGAACCCGAGCCGACAACGTCGGCAATGGATGTCGAGACTGCGGCGGAGGACGTAGAGGCTCCGACGGCAATGGAGGTGCAGGTACCATCTTCACCGAGAATTATCTCGGATGAAGAGTGCTTTCCGGCAGGGGGAGGAGAGAGCGAGGCCAGCGACAGCCTCCTCTACTCCTCCCCCCTACGGGAAGACTAAACTCCTGCAGGGAAACCTCCAGCACAGCCAAACTGCGACGGCCTCACTACGCAGAGTGCTGGAAAATAACACCCAGACCATAGCCCCGATCCAAGAGCCGTGGATCAGAAACAACAAAATCTGTGGTCTCGGCAACATCGGAGGAAAACTGCTACTGGATACCTCCGTAAGTAAACCTAGGACTTGTATTTTCCTACCAAAACATGTTCCAACATTATTAATAAACGAATTCTGTTCAAGGGATCTAACAACAGTCAGAATAACCACTGTAGAACAAAATCTCCCGGACATCGTCCTCGCCTCAGCATACCTGCCGAGCGACGGGGAGGTGCCACCTCCAGAACTCAGCCAGCTGGTCGAGTACTGCGAGAGGGAGAAGCTGGAACTGGTCGTCGCCGCTGACTCCAACGCGCACCACACGCTATGGGGAAACAGTAAGACCAACAACAGAGGTGAGGACTTAGCTCTTTTTATTTTTAGCAATAACCTCACACTGCTCAATAAAGGTTCCGAACCTACATTCATAAACGCTCGTTCACAAACCATCATAGACATAACACTGACATCGACAGGCATCTCGGAGCATGTTCGTGACTGGCACGTGTCCAACGAACTATCATGCTCTGACCATAGATGGATCCGCTTTACAATCGACATGCAGTTACCTAAACCACAGCCGAGACGGATTCCTCGTAACACTGACAAATTCAAATTCCTGGGATTGGTCAAAACGTACGTAGCAAAACAATCCGTACTCTCAATAAAACTAGACAAAACGGAAATAGACAACCACGCAGACAACATAACGTCCATACTAACCACGTGCTACGAACAGTCTTGCCCTCTCACCGTACCCAAAAGCAGAGGTAGGCAACACTGGTGGTGTCTCGAACTAGAGAGACACCGACGGAGGTTAAGGAAAACTTTCAACGTAGCCATGAATAGTAGGTCACAAAGTGATTGGGACAAATACACTACTTCAAAAAAAATACAAAAAACTAATTCGCCAACGACGACAGGAATGTTGGAGGCGATTCTGCACAAATATAGAAAACAACAACCAAGCAGTCAAGGTAAAAGCGTGTCTCTCCAAGGAGAAAGACCACACAATAGGCTGTCTAAAAAAACCAGATAACAGCTACACAACAAATGACACAGAAACTTGCGAAATACTACTGTCAACTCACTTCCCAGGATTTCTAGTGGACAATAACCACTCATGGAATTCACAGGAAGACAGGACAACCAGCAGCTCGGACTGGGAGGTAGCTTGCAAAATAATAGACAAAGAAAAACTAATATGGGCAATCAACACATTCCTGCCTTTCAAAGCAGCGGGACTAGATGGTGTCTTTCCGGCCCTCCTTAGATGGAGCGGAGACATAATAGCCGAACAACTCGTTCAGCTATTTCGAGCATGTCTGGCACACCGATACATACCTTTGATATGGCGCGAAGTGAAAATAATCTTCATCCCAAAACCAGGCAGAGGTGATTATACGCAGGCCAAATCTTTTCGACCAATTAGTCTCACATCGTTTTTACTAAAAACTTTGGAGAGACTATGCGACAAAGAAATCAGAGACCTTGTGTCCACAAACAAACCACTCCACCCTAACCAACATGCCTACAGCGAAGGTAAATCAACGGAATCAGCACTCCACAGCGTAGTAACCCGAATTGGTAACTCGTTACACTCAAAGCAGCCAACACTAGGTGCCTTTATAGACATCGAAGGGGCCTTTGATAAAACGAATTTTACCAGCATAAGCCGGGCTCTTGCCATACATGGAGTACCTTTAACTATCATAGAATGGATAAGCAACATGCTAAAGAACCGTGCAATTCAGTTTACCGTTAACACTACCACACGAGGTATCGTGAGCAGAGGATGTCCACAAGGAGGGGTCCTATCACCTCTTCTTTGGAATCTAGTTGTTAACGAACTCATTGAGGAGCTCAACGACAACGACCTCTACACGGTAGGGTATGCTGACGATATTGCCATACTGATAACAGGAAAATTTGAGGGAACTCTATGCGACCGCATGAGAGAAGCCTTCAGAACTGTAGAGAGATGGTGTAAAAACCACGAACTCTCGGTAAATCCTTCCAAAACAGAACTAATCATGTTTACTAACAAAAGAGCTCCTGGTACCTTCAGGACACCGAAACTCTTTAACACAGACCTTAATCTAAAAGAAGAAGTCAAGTACCTGGGAGTTATACTGGACAGTAAGCTCCTATGGAACAAACATCTTGACCACAAAATTAACAAAAGTACCATAGCATTTTATCAATGTCGAAAGATGCTAGGAAATAAGTGGGGTATTACACCTAAAATAACACTCTGGCTATACACAGCTGTGATAAGACCAATGCTCGTGTACAGGGGCCTTGGTTTGGTGGACAAGAGTCGAAACTCACGACCACAGTCAACAAACTAAGGTCCTTTCAAAGACTTGCATGCTCTGCAATCACGGGATGTATAAATACCCCAACAACAGCAATTGAAATAGCCCTCAATATAACACCCCTCGATTTGTACATATATACCATCTTGGTCTATGGGGCAAAAACCATAATAGTTCTCACACTCACATCCTGAACCAAGCAATCGAACACGAACCTTTGATTGCAGCTCCGTGTGACAGAACTCAAACTTATCACTCATTTAACAGAAAATACCAAATACAAATGAATCAGGAGGAACAAGACCAATCTGCTGTAAATGAACTGCGAATATACACAGATGGCTCCAAAACACATAACGGTTCAGGAGCAGGAGCCCACTCCCTTGACCTCAACATGAACTTATACATACCACTCGGCCCACACAGTTCGATTTTCCAATGTGAATGCGTTGCCCTGACTGAGGCAGCACGAACAGTGCTAAAGTTAGAATGTCAACAACTTCAACTTAAAATTTATATCGGACAGTGCAGCCGTGCTAAAAGCACTACAGAACAGGAAATCAAACAACAGATTAATAATCGAATGTCACAATATCATGGATAAAGTGGCAGAGCACAACGTTGTAACCATCCAGTGGATAAAAGGGCACAGTGGATCATATGGAAATGATGCCGCGGACGAATTGGCGACAATTGGATCACATGACGGTATTGGCAAAAACTCCCGCTTCTGCCAATACCATTCTCACAATTTCGATTCTGGATTCGCCAAAGATCCACTGAGATACAAAACCAAAGATGGAAACAAACCACCGATTGTAAACAATCAAAAGTGGTCCCAGAACAAATCAACGAATAACAAAACGCCTAATAAATCTGGACAGGCATAACATAAAAACAATGATCGCCCACAATGACGTGCCACTGTCCCTTAAACAGACATTTGTACACAATAGGTGCTACAGACAGTCCCCTATGCCGGGGCGCTTTAAAAGGAAACGGCCGCTCACGTAATCCTGGAGTGTCGAAGCAGTGACCACACAACGAAATCAAATCCTCGGAACGGTGAGGTCACTCCGAGAAGCCTGCGAAGACACCAGGAGACTTCTGCGTTGAGGCACGGCATTACGCTAGTAGCCATTGCTCTACACGCACAACGGCCCGAATGAGATAAGTGCGGAAAATGAATCAACCGACATTGACATTGACATAGTACTGTATATCGAACAGCCTGAGTGTGCTAAAATATCCATTAAATATGTATAGGTATTTCGAGAACTTGTTTAGCACAGTACAAGCACAGCTTGACACTAGACAGCGCTGTGTGAATTTTCCAGAAATATTTATTTAAATTTGGTAACCTTATTACTACTGGTATTGGTACTAAACTACTATGGCGGTAATAGGAAATATATAAATTAAATTAATAATTACAGCAGAATCCAATTTCCAAATCAATGGGAAAAAACCATACTGAAATTAATGTAATACAGAAGTTTTATTTCTTTAAAATCTTCTAAACAATACGTTCCGGTTGTAATTCTTGTAATATCCGTCACATAATTGGTAGTCGTGTTCAAATCGTCTCCAATTAGCATTTACTCAATGGAACTGACTGGAGCGATGAACGCGTGTGAAAATCTACATATTTTTTCTTGATAGTTGACTGTCCATTGACTGTTTTTTTTTTCAATCCATAATACACTACGTCAGGCCGATAAATGTTATATCTAAGTTGCAACTCTGCAATCCAGTATTAATTTGTTACTATCCAATCTCCAAACAAAACAGTGAATCATTTTAATCCCCGGTAGCTTAACCACAACGAAGCTTAATAATAATTCGTGCTTGAAAGAGCCATAAATATTTAAGCATGATCTTTCTTAAATAGCATACTACTTTAATACCAGCAATGCACGACAAGATCTTAAGCATTAATAATGTATTGGTGCAAGTATCGAAGAAATTATGAATTTGAATAACAGCCTGGAGCGTTAACTCTTCTGAAGTATTGCATGGACTTAATACACTCATTAATGTAAGCACTATCAATAAATAAGACTTCGATATAACATTGAATGCTTATTGGTGGCACGATACTTTGTTCTTCACGGGTCATATTTGACAGATCATATTGTATGTAAATAATTATATATCCCTAGAAATAAAATTGAGATCAGTTCTATAGAAATCTGTCTACATTATGATTTTTGTTATATGTAATATAAATTGGTAGTTCTTATATGTGAACAATATAATCAATCTTACTAATACGGGTACACACAAGAACACAGTAATCTCGTACTAAAATGGAAACGAATTCTTATGACTCACGACTATGTTTTAATCCGGAAAAAGCAAACTCAATTGATGACACGGTTGAAGTGAGTTTATAGTTAAATTAATTGGAATATTACCATAGTGATAATGCTTTTAATTAAGCACTACAAGCGTTTTCCCGTGATTTCTCCCGCATGGGTATTGTTTTCTATCATGCCTTTGCATTTAGGAAATCCTGTTTTATTGCTCTACTGCAACGTCTAAAACACTTCAGTACAAATTCCATGAGTCTACTTCCAATAGTTTTCTTCTGT